CTTTATTGTATTTGTTAGGTTTGTAGTAACCTCTATATAGGAGTTTTACACTCTGATATTTCATGATCTCTCTGAGTGAGGAGTAAAGAGAGGGCTGTGGATAAATGAAACGCGCGCAAGGTATAAGTCGCTCCACTGTACCTGTAAGTAATGTTACACTCTTTCCTAGTGATGTATATCGTGTATAAGGTCCTAATTAAGTTCAGACTTGAGTACGTATGAACTAGTGTAGAAGTAAGGTATGGCTTGGTATTGGTGTATCGTTTATACAATTACTCGAAATTGTATGTAAATGCTAACAGTAAGAGGTGTGAAGACATATGTCTGTTTCCTTTGGTCAAACTGAGCCACACGTACTGAAAATGGATCAATACGAAAGACCAACGTAGATCGCTCGAAACAATTGGACTTAGGAGAGTGAATACAAGCGCTGCTCTTATAATTTGCGAGAGGACCTATGACGCGACAAGTTATGTGGTAGTAAAATCTACGTACTTACATCAATTAAATTATCATTGAGATCTCCTCTCCGAGGTGATACGTCACTATGTAGCCTTTATAACATTCAACACCTACATTTATACGTGCAGGGTACTTCTAAATTAGCAAGATTGAAGACCCCATATGCGCCACTGTAATGATTTTTGTTCTCGAGTCAAAGTACCCCTCTATATCTAGTGAACCTAACAACACAGTCAAATGTTAGTTGTGAACCTTCTTCAATAAGTCAGTGAAATGTATTCTGAAGGGAGATCATGGTATTATAAGGAGGTGATAATATGTAAACTCCACTTGCACGTGGCAATTACGAGCTGTTAAGTTAAACCAGTTATGTAAGAAACTAAGATTGAGTGTCACTTTTCATTTGGAGAGTTTATACCTCATCTAGTTTGTGTACCCTCTACTGAATTTATAATTGAGTGTCACTCTCATTGGAACGATCTGTCAATCCAAGGTTGTACTTCTGTATTTTTGTCATTATTGATAAAGTTGTCTATGTATAGTGATCCTGGTAGATATGTATCGTTTTGTTGGGGAAAATATGTCTCTGTCACATCCGTTTGTAAAACCCTCGTGCTCGTAGATGGTGGTACAATAGTTTCCTATTAGATGGGGGGCGTGAAGAACATAGTCTCCTCGCTACGAAGTTTGGTTCTGTGTCTATCAGAAAGATTATTTAGTCCAACAATCCACGTCAATAGAGGTGTAAGTCTTATAAAATATTGTATAATGTAAAAGAGGAACGATCTCTCTGAGTGCTCAAAGATGGTTTCATCCACGCTTTCCAGGTAACGGTGGAATCTCTTCGGACTATACCAGAGAAGATTGATGTGTCTATTGTACAGGACCATCTGCGGTGACACTGTTGCTGCGAAGTGGAGTACTCTCGCTTGGTACTGTATCCTTCGTCGGCTAAGTATCATCGTATTCATCGAGTATGTATGATGATGATCGTACACCGACGCTAGCTCTCGCTGAGTGCCGCTAGGTGCGGATACTTAGCTCATACCCATGAACAAACAATTGGGTATAGGTAGCGACGGTGTATACTTATTGTGTTACTCTCTGGTAGCACGTACTGCGTTATCACTGCTTGTGGAGGAGTCGGGTTGTCAATATATAATAATCCATATACGTCTGGCGGAAAACAAATTAATGTATCATTTTCATATCACGTTAGAGACGCAACTTCGCGGATAATCGCTGCAAATTTTGACCAGGGGTGTTAAGTGATCGTCAGTGACTGCTTTTTGATATTACAATACTTTAGAGAGATGGCAAATTCCAGCATATAGAGATAGAGAACTCAGCGCATTTTCGATATGTGCGTTATGTCATTTCGTTGGTTTAACCTCTTCGTAAGAGATCTAGGTGTCTCCTTGTTCGAGGGATGAAGTTATACTTCGTGGATAAACCCGCCTGATGCGAGAATGTCTGGCATACTAATTGTCGTAGAGATGTATAGCTATTAAAGCGCCTTAGTTGTCTCTATTCTTTTACCTATATACGCGAAATCCAGAATTCCTACACCCATATATGCTTGCTTGGTTATAAGAGGATATAAGTGTATGAACCTATCCGGATGTTGTGGAACATCTCCAGAGCTTGGTCAAGTCGAAGTGAATCGCATGGTCGGTGAAAGTACTACAGTGTGGTACTTAATATTTTTGATGCAATATTCTTAGTTGAATTATCAGAGTAACATGTTAGATGCGCATATTCTCTCTAATAATCTTTTTAATTTAAGGTTAGCCAAGTGGACGATTGATAGGGAGAATCCGTCCTATACAAAACTTCCCAATAAATTAATCCATACGGGGAGGGACGGGGAGAGCACATTTTTAAATTGGGGTTCAATGATACGGTATGATAGTAACGCCCGATGTTATATTCGAGCAAAAAAGAGATATCGCATTAAAGAGCAACATTTCATGGTGGACGGGGCAATTAGCTGTACAATCATGGGGGCTTGAGTGGAGTGCATGGCTAGGGGCACGCGCAGTAGAGGTGCGCTGTATGACCAACACGTGTTCTCGGAGCTGGGTCGGCGGGCCGTTAATGTGCACTAAGAATCTGGCCTGAGTACATGGGTTCCGAGATGCGCGGTCTAAGGACAAGCGCCCGAAGCTGAGGGCGGAGGTAGCGGAGAGGGAGGGAGTGCAGTGGTAGGGACGTAGGGACGCCGTACGAATGCGGATCATTGAGCTGGCAAGTCACCAGGGGAGTAGGACGATCGTCGCAACGGTAAAGTATGAAAGGGTGTTGAGGAAATGTTCCTAGAGTGTATAGACCTAATAACCGCGTACTCTCCCGCGGAATGAAGAGGTAAGGATACCACAGGTGGGACGACACGAAGGGTACAACGAGTGTTTCGCAGCAGCCCGCGTCTCCACTCTCAGCAGTCACGGACACCCCCTCGCGCTACGTTCACGCTCCGGAGCGGGCACATACTTATCACGTGCGGATAGTCGATGGGGCCAAGATAGGCCCCACCTTCTACCCAAGAGACCCTTATCGTAGACCCAGAGGAACTCGATCCCGGTACGCGACCTGTGTGACTCGAATATGAGAAGACTCAGGCACAAAAAGCTACCTACTTCCTTACCTCGCTGCATATGACCAGGCACCCTCACCCCTTAGCAAGGAACAAGAACGGAGCGCTCTCGACTCCGTCCTGCGCCATAGAGTCTTTGTCCTGTCTATTGGTCATCTTCAATTCTTCAGTCTCTCTGTGAGTCATCGA